TTTCATGATCTAAGATTGTCATGTTCTTTATAGCTTCTTGAGAACAATTAGAATTGCTTGACAATGCCCCCCCTCACAGTATTAAATGGAAAAGTGAGGTAAAATTACCAATTTACATCTCATAAAAAATGATAACAATACTTAAGTAATTTTGCAATTGCATTGTACTTATCAAATAATTTTCTTGCATTTTTAATACTTAGTGAGTAATAAACTTTTTCATTGTTGAATAATTATAATTTATACATTACCAGGGATGTGTGGCTATTGTAATGTATATTTGCATTACAATTGAAATCATTATGTAGAGTTCAAATTGCAGTCTCATCAGTTGTGTTCATGTTTGTATAGATGCCTTTGGAAAATGCATGAGTCTTTTCTCCCTTCAGTTATGGGTCAAGTGAGCAGTGTCTCTTTAGCATTGTTTGAAGACGGAAAATTCTGAATTCTAAACTGTAGAGAAAGTTAAAACAGGAAACTATTCCATTATCTTTCTACAGAAACTATCACAATTCACAAATAATAAAGAAAAATCTGGAGTCATGACTGCAAACATCCTGAAGGGACATTGTATTAAAATAAATATCATCCCCCAGAAGAAGAAGAAGAAGAATTTGTGACTTAGAAAAATTTTACATACAAAAATATATATATATATATATATATATATATATATATATATATGAAGAAATATAGTATGAAGATATAGTCTTATATTTATGGGATAAAGTGCTCAATATCAGAGATAGAGCGTGTGTAAATATAAAAGTGAACATAAAGTCAACACTTAGAGGCAACAATCTGTTTCTTTAAATTTTTTTGCATCTTGCATGAAACAGACTGTTGCCTCTAAGTGTTGACTTATATATATATATATATATATATATATATATATATATATATCAATACACATTGCTTATATATATATATATATATATATATACACACACACACATGTGTGTCTATTATTATAACTATTAATCTTTTTGTTGCATGTTATTTTCCAATCTAAAATTCAATTTAATGCCAGGCAATTAAAATTTGTCTCGCTTAGCTTTCCTTATCAGAACAGGAAGTTGGAATCATAAAGAAAGAATTCTGCCTTTTTTAAAACCTTAAAAATAAAAGTATCCCATGAAAATTAGCTATTAACAAGAAATAAAATGCAATTGACAAATTGGCCCTACTATTTGTAAGTATTCTACATTTGTTATGCTAGCCTGAGGCAAGTTCATTTCAAATGGCATAAAGTAACACCTAATGTTACCATAACACCTGAATATTGTATTAAGTATGAGGGATGCATGACCAATATAGTCATATTATCTTATGTAATAAAGCTTAATGTAAAATTGTTTATTATCTATTTGTTGTATATGTTCATAAGAGGCAACTAGAGACCAGCATTATTTTATACTTTTGTATTTTTTTTTTTTAATTCTGTGATATTTAAATTACTCTTTTGTACCAAATACAGTGCCATCTTGAATAGTTATTTCAATTTATACTCTTATTTTTTGTTTTAATAAACTGGAATAAAATGATGATGCTCTGGAGAAAATTAATTGAAGAATAATAAGTGTGCCATACCAAATAAACACTGTTTTTGGGTGGGAAATAGAAGGGAATCATATAACCATGCCGGTACTAGTATTTGGTACACAAGAGTAACCATTTAGTACATGTTATCAGAAAAAAGCCTGTTATGTTTGTAGAGGAAAAAGAAAATAGGGATGGGTTTAGGCTTATTAAAGTTAATGTAGGTCAAATAAGTTGTTTAGTGAAGATTATATTCCCAACTAGTATTCTTCATTGTTTCTACTCACTGTAATTGAGTTTCAGTCAAGAGTCCTGAAAACATGGCATATAAAAAAGTTAAAAAGCAAGATTGAAGAAGATACAATTTTAAAGTTTAGCCAGATTTATATATTTTGTGTCCCTCAACAAGGAAAATAGTTCAGCTATTTAAAGTTCTATATTTTAAAGTATAAATTTTATTGTTGACTGAATTTAAAGAACTATTAAATAAATTTAATGCAGTTTTTGATTTGACATGTGAATGTTCTTATAAATATTGAGTTCCTTAATTCCATTGTTTGCCATGGTATGATGATTATAATGATAATTGAACTAGTTTCAAATGGCTGTGCTGTGTAGTGAGCTCTGATAAAAATAAAAAGAATTAAAATTAAAATAAGGCATTTGTATTTTCCTTTCAAATCCTTATCTCTTTCTTTCTTACTCTCTAAACTTATCTTTCTATACTTTTCTCAACCTGCAACAACCTACAAGAAGGCAACCTTCAATTAAAAAGAAGAAAAAAACTGTACCCAGTCAAAAAGTCCAGAAGTTTGCAGGAGCAGAGCTTACTTATTTGTGACTAAAAAATACCAAAATCACGAAGGTTTCATCCATAACTTCTGTTATACATAAAGAAAAAAAAAATGATACAGAAAGGAACAGTGGAAAATAAAATAATTTGACCATCAAAAAAAGTGACACAAATAGACTTTTTAATGTTAGTCAAATCCAAAGTTCTGACTACAAACTCTGAACCTATTCAAAAGGATAAAAACCTGACACTTCTGGACCAGTGCCAGAGGGAACCCGAATGACACCAAGAGAGGACAGAGCAAAAGAATGCACACATGAAAAAACAGTCAAGAGGTCATCTGCTACTGACATTTCCGCCCTCTTTTAGGGCTGAAAAGAATACAGTAGATTGATACTGACCTAATTTCTGATATTACTACTACTACTACTACTACTGCTATCATTGTCTGACTTCAAAATACTATAAACGGACATTTCTCCAGGCTGCTATTAATATCCACCTTATTAACAAACTTTTTGCTATGCTGAATATAAAAGGACTCATCACTCTAGATAAAAACATATTATTTATTTTAATCCTTGAGTTAGTTCGTTTTATGTTCTATGTTTCTAATAAAATAATTATCCTACTACCTATCCATATTGGCAATGTTCTGATGTGAATGCGTATGCCACAACTGTATGACTTGTAAATCAGTGGAAAATATGAGTGGAAGAAATATATTGTTAATCTGGTGAAAAGCCAAGTTGTTTACAAGGATTGGATGTTTTGGAAGCCTGCTTCACTGCACTTTCCCAGACTATCTTAAGCCATCTCTTCTTTCAATTTCTTTGCCATCTCTTCTTTCAATTTCTTTGCCATCTCTTCTTTCAATTTCTTTGCCATCTCTTCTTTCAATTTCTTTGCCATCTCTTCTTTCAATTTCTTTGCCATCTCTTTCTTTCCATCTCTTTTTCAATTTCTTTGCCATCTCTTCTTTCAATTTCTTTGCCATCTCTTCTTTCAATTTCTTTGCCATCTCTTCTTTCAATTTCTTTGCCATCTCTTCTTTCAATTTCTTTGCCATCTCTTCTTTCAATTTCTTTTGCCATCTCTTCTTTCAATTTCTTTGCCATCTCTTCTTTCAATTTCTTTTGCCATCTCTTCTTTCAATTTCTTTTGCCATCTCTTCTTTCAATTTCTTTTGCCATCTCTTCTTTCAATTTCTTTGCCATCTCTTCTTTCAATTTCTTTGCCATCTCTTCTTTCAATTTCTTTGCCATCTCTTCTTTCAATTTCTTTGCCATCTCTTCTTTCAATTTCTTTGCCATCTCTTCTTTCAATTTCTTTGCCATCTCTTCTTTCAATTTCTTTGCCATCTCTTCTTTCAATTTCTTTGCCATCTCTTCTTTCAATTTTTAAATCCTAAATGTCAATCTTTTCATTATTTTTCACCTTAAGAAATGTAGATCACACTCACTATCTAATTAATCGCCTTTCTTTGATACAAAGGTTGGATGTTTTGGAAGCCCACTTCCTTGTACTTCTCCAGAAGACTCTATTGTCTTCTTTTAGTTTAGTTTATTTTGTTTTACAACATATCAACCTCAATAGGTTACTCAATGCTGACAGGATTGTTATTGCTGGTAATATTATTTTTTCCCTTCAAAACATCTATTGTTGATAATTTTTCCTCACAAAATTTATAGCTGGTATTAAAACCTATTTTTACACTTTCATAGATCCCAGTTTTTTTGTGGTGGGGATTAAGTATTTACTTGCCCATAGTTGGGACCTTAACAGGTGGTACCACCCCGGGTAACACCAGCAATTAAGAGATAGTTCTACACTCCTCAAAACCTTCTGATCAGAGGCCTTGCTGTAGGGTATAGTTTATCGTCTTACCCAGGATGCAGATATAGTCTTTGACTTCATTTTCTTGAGGCCATTACTGACCTCTTCTCTTCCTGTTTTTCTTTAGCTGTATTTTGCCACAACATCTCTCAGCTCAATACACTGATTCACCCCTGAAATGTTTCATTGTATATGTCCAAAAGATTGTAGTCTTTGCGTGATCAGTAACAAATTTAGAGAGATGTTCAAACTTACATGTACATTGATGCCATCCTCTGTCTTGTTTTTCTTTTTTTTTTTTTTTTTTTTTTTTTCATTTTGATTAATTAAGAAATGCAAAATTGTAGTTTGGTAGTGATTTTTCTTAATTTATAATCTCTTTTGGGAAATGAAAGTAATTTTGTTTCAGCTTCTGGTCATCTTGACCTGAACCTATTTATTAATGCTATATCTTGTATGTCAGCAATTTTTTAGTTTATTCCAAAAATGTTTTAGCTGTGCACATATTGATTATAACTTATTTTATAAAAGAGTCCTGTTTTCATAGACTTTAACAATAAAAAATAAATCATTTTTCATGTTTTTATTTCTTTTTAGATATTTTTCAATGGCGTCTCTTTCTTTAAGGGAAACCTCAAAGTCAGCAAGGTCATCCAGTTCAACACACACAGTAACGGATGAAACAAAAGAGCAAGTTAAAAATGGCTCAACACACCACAAATCAAGTGCAATTAACAACAGCGGACAAAAAACAACACTTAGCATTATTTTTGTTGCCCTCATTATTGATCTGTTAGCATTTACGTTGATTTTGCCTCTTTTGCCATCCATTATGGAATATTATCAAAAACATGACCAGGTAAGTTTTTGCAAAAAACATTTGCCAATAACTTTATGCTTGTTTGTTCTTTACTTTTTTTTCTGTATAAGATGGATTAATACTGACCAAGAATTTTTTACTATATTAATTTTTTTTTAATTCTTAGATGAAGCAACAATGTCAAACATTATTAATGTTTTTGAATTTTAATGGTTAACAATACTTCATCAAATAATAACAAAAATAAATATACTTTCCTACAAATAAGGAATAATGGTTACCATCTGATGTTCTGTAACCATTCTCAAACCATTCAACAAGTAGAACAGTTATATCTGTCTTTATCACTGAGATTAGGTATTATGATTACTTACATTATTTACATTATTTGGACTGTTATCCTCATCTTCATTGCCATATTCACAATGTTTTGGGTGTTGTATGCTCTGGCCTTCTTCACGTGATTGGAATTTCAAACTGAGCCCTTTATTTCGCCCATTGGAGTAAATTGTTCTAGTTCCACGTGCCATGCCTCTCTACTGGATGTCTTAGTTATTTCCCTTTAACTCAACTCTCCAAGTTTGGTTCACCACTGGGATAAAGACAAACACACATGGCCCAGTGGATAAAGATGTTGGTTAGATCCAGTGACTAATCCCAAAGAGTTGTGAGTTCAATACCAGGCCACAGCAGTTGTGAACCAAACTTGGAGAGTTGAGTTAAAGGGAAATAACTGAGACATCTGGAAGAGGCATGGCACGTGGAACTAGAACAATCTACTCCGGTGGATGAAATAAAGGGTTCGGTTTGAAATTCTAATCATTTGAAGAAGGCTGGAATGTACAATGGCCGAAACTTTGTGAATATTCCAATGAAGATGAGGATAACAGTGCGAATAATGTAAATAATGTAAGTACAACAGTTGCCATGGGAAGACAAGTTTTCAAAAGGAAAAAGGGTTGTAAGTTGTTGAAAGCTTATTTATTATTTTCTATCTGCATTTTTTGCAAATGGTTCTAGAATGATCATTTGAACAGAAGTATTGAAAAACAGGTAAAATTTAGATGAAAGAAATATTTTAAAAAAATAAACAATGGTTGACAAGTCCTTATCAAATAATAAAATTCAAGATGGCAATGGTCATAGATTGCTGATCAAAATAGTCGGTATGAAAAGCAAATTAAGATGAAAAACATACTATTGAATAATAAATGGTTGACAAAGCTTCATCTAATAATAAAATTCAAGATGACATTGCTACCAATGGCCATAGACTACCAGTCTGATTAGTTGTGATGGAAAACAACTAAAATTCAAATTAAATGAATAATCATCAAAAAAGTTAATGATTACCTTTTATTCCAATGCAAAGTTGATTGAATTGTTTTTATGGAAGAATTTTTTGATATTTCTTTATATGAGTATTAACTTTGCATGACAATATTAAAAATTATATAAAATACTAAACATCTAATCTTGTATGTATGTGTGTTCCTGAGATACAGCTTAAACAATACTTAATACTCCAAACAATTTAGAAGTATATTGTACTTTGAACCCCTGTCAAGTGCTGTACCAAATTCCATTAAAATAAGATAAGGGGTTCTTGAGCTAGTGTTGTTTTTACATCAATTTTAATAGGAAATCCAGTATTTGTTTTCCATGCACATTCTTATATCAATCTGTGCATATATAAACAGACATGCATATTATTTTCCAACTATTATATGTCAGAAAAATAATGTGCACAATACATTTAAATTTTTAATGTTATAATTTATAATATATATAACACCACACATTGTTTGGCAAGTATTTGATAAATAAAGATGTTATCTGGGTGTGTCATTATAAAACATAATCTGTATGGCTGGAAAATTGTGTCCTATGACTTGGTGCTAAATAAATAAAAAGATGAATGCTAGTTTGCCACCATTATGCATTTTGAAATAAATGTGAGGAAGAAAAATGTGTAAAATAAATATTATTTTGAAAAATTACCTAGAAAAAAAATGAAACTAACTGCACAAAAAGGAGGCATCTATATTTTCTTATTTCAATAAATATGAATTTCTCTAAGCAGGAAATTGCTGTTTTTTTTTAATTTTTTTTTTTTTTTTTTTTTTGTGGGGGTGGTTGTTTTTTGAATGACTCTCACCTTTTTGAAAATTATATGGTAACTACTAAAATTGGTATAGAATGTTACCCATGGGGCTACTATTATTTGAATGGAAAGGTCTTTAGTGTGATATCAGTTTGCAATTCCAGTCTAAAATAAAAGTAAACAGGGCAATGTTTCAAATTAAAGCATGGTTATTATCCTAGGAACGATGATAAGTCCCCTATATAATTCTAGTATTGTTAATTTATTGTTTGCTCTGAAAATCTGTTTGATAATTTAAAATCTATCATTGAATTTCCAGCTGAATTTCATTAAGAAAATGAATGTAAAGCAGCATTGTTTGTCTAATTACCAAATACACTCATCATTTTTTATCATGAACTGCTTTTAAAAGAAGCCCAATGGATTTATTGGTGGTCTAGTTAGAAATAACTTAAAAATCAATTAATTTATTAGAAATTACTTTGTTTACATTTCAGATAACAAAAATAAAGTTAACAGTTCTAGACATTGAAAGGTCTCAATGAGAAATGTACATTTCTTAAAAGGAGTAATTGAACCTTGCATTATTGTCATAGCTTTTGTAACTAAATGATAAAGAAGCAAACCTGGCTTGAAAGTAGTTGCCCCAGGTTAAAAGGAATACAGGTTCAGTTTCTATCAAGAGCACAAGACTTTCACTCACTAGATGCAGATTTGAATTTTTTTTTTTTTAATAAGGATACCTGCTCAAATCCACTAAATGTTTGTAGCAATAAGAAATTTCTGCTTTTCACTTTTCCATCTCTAAAATTATGAAGGTTAAGTGCTTTTTTGTATTGTTTATCTTTATTGCTGTCAATTTTTGTATTTGGCTTGATGAGCAGTTACCCTCTGATCCTGAATTTTACTGCATAACTGAAAAACTAATTGTATAATAATTGTGTTGAATTTTTAAATTACATTTTAACTATGAAAAAAAATTCTTGAAGATTATTTTTTTTTTTTGTTAATCAATCTTTTACTACTGAAAACATGCATGTTAATCTTATCCCTCACAATATAATTTTGCACTAAAATATACTAGCATGCAAAACGTATCATATTTGATGGCATCTATGACCCAATTTTCATACCAAATTATAGAATTTCATAAATTTTTAATACATGCACAAAGATGAACTTGTAAATTATGATTTCAATCTATGGGTCTGCTAATGCTAAAAAGTCCTATAGTCTGGTTCAGTTGGGTGTGGGAGAATGAATAAGCAATACAGTCTGAAAAAGACTTTATATAAAGTATCCTTTACACATGGAAAGTGGAATGAAAACAACTTACCCCCATGGATTGAAAACAAAAAGGTTGGTACAGAATTCTGAGAAGGTTACCAAATGAGAGACACCTGAAGAAGACTGGCAGGTACAATAAGCAAAACATTGTGAATGGAAGAACCAAGATGAGAATAATAATAATAATAACAATAATAACAATAATGGCAACAACAATAATAACAATAATATTAACAACAATAATAATAATAAGAATAATCATAATAGCAACAACAATAATATTAACAACAACAACAATAATATTAACAACAACAACAACAACAACAATAATACAATAATAATTCCTCATTGCAAATTCCAACATAAAAGAAACTTTTTAAACTGGATCAAATAGGGAATGTGGAAGAAGCTTGAGTAACATTCTATATATCATCCAACAATATTATTTCCTTGAAATTCATTGTTGAAATGGGGTGGGGGGTTATGTCATCAAATATATTTTCAATTTCATTTAAATGTTTGAAGAGTATGAAGTGAGTGAAGCATGCCTGCCTTGAAAATCAGCATGTAAAATTTTATCTAGATTTGAGCAACTACTGCTTGCTGGTGAAAAATACACTACTACTTTAGCCACCATGAAGTTTCTGGATTTGCTAATACAAGTATTAAGCTTAGCTTAATTGGATACAAAACTAAATGGAAGGAGATAAGCTGAGAAGATCATGTTACACCATTCATCCAAGAGTGAAGGATCTTCCTGCTTTGAAAAATCAGTATATGAAATTCTAGATTTGATCAGGGCTCAAATGCCCCTATTTGTATTGGTGGGAAATACTGAACTATGTCAGTCTCCAATTCCACCTGATAGACAGCAATGTGGCAGTTTTGATCAAAAAAGAAGAGTAATTAGAAAAATGCTTTATAGTCAGTAAAATGCATTCTTCAAAGAAAGTACGGATCTCAAGATGTCTCTAATATCTATACTGATGATACAACGGTATTATGGGTGCACCTCCAAAGTCCGAGATGATCAGAGCTTGGCAGCTGATCTCTCCTCCGACCTAGCTCTGACATCTCTGTTGGGGGATAAACTGTCTAGTTACATTCAATGCCTCGAAAACCAAACTAATTACATTCCATCATTGCCAATTGGACCCTGAACTATCATTAGTCACAATAGATGGATGTTCCTTCAGGGAGACTCCATGCCTTGAGTGACTATTGGGCCTTAAAATTACCCCAGACCTCAAGTGGAACACATACATACACTTCATCACTAAAGATCCAGTATAAATAGTTGGCTCCCTGTACCACTCCAGTAAGTACCTGACTCTTTGTGTTATATTCTATCTTTACAAGAGCCTGGTCAAGCATAAAATGGAGTACTGCTGTCATATTAGGGAAGGAGCTGCCTAGTCATCACTTTTCAGTCTTAAAGTGTCTCCGTGTCTTTATGGATGACAAATTATTTTCCACCCTGAAACACCTCCCTCACAGACGAGATGTCGCAAGCTACTCGCTGCTCTATTGCTCCTTTCATAGGTGTTCAGACAAACTACATTCCTTAGTCCCACCAGTCTTAATCTTTATGGTTAGAACCTGCCATGCTATGCACATTATAGTGAACCATCCTCATTCTTCCTGTATTCCATTGGTGAGAAGTTCTACTCATGCAGCTTCTTCCCATGAACCACTGCCTTGTGAAACCAATTCCCAAGAGGATGTTTTCTCCAATCACTACAATCTTCAGTTCAAGTCTAGGGTTAATGATTATCTTCCCCACATATCCACATAAACTGTGCCTCTTACTCTGTAACCCACTCCTCTAGTGGTTCTTGGGCCTTATACAGCATAAACAAAAAAGAAAGAAATGTAACGAAAATGTAAGAAAATAATAAATAAAAAAGTATTGTTGATATTCAAGCTAGAATTTCCTTCCCCTCTTGGATGATTGATGCAAAATATTTTCTTTCCATTTAGTCTTCATTTGGACTGCAGTAAAAGTCACTTCCTTTCTTTTCTCAGAATTCTCTTTTTGTAATCAGTCAAAATTAGAAACATGAATTATTAGCCTTCGTCCATTCTGATATTATTTCTATATAAAGACATTATTCATATCTGCTGATTCAGGTTTGAGTCTTAAGACAGAAATTTAAAGTAGCAGAATAATTTTTTTTTTTTTTTTTTACTGCTGATTATTATCATCATGTACCAGCTGATTTATCTTAGGCAGGAAATGCAAAAATTTACTGGTGCTACTGAAATTAGTTTACCCATTTTATGAATGGTTCACTAGAATTTTACTTTATTGAGCATGAACTTGCATTGCCATTTTGAACTATGACAGAATTTCTGTTGACAAAATCAGAGCATATTTTGGGGATAAATGTTCACTTGTTTTTACAAGAAAGATATTTGTTTAACCATATTCCATGAACTACTGACAAAACCTATAATACTCCACTTATCACTAAGACTTTACACAGATTTGATTTAGCTATTATAGATTGTCAAGAATCTTGGAACATGAAAAAAATTGTCTTTACTAATAATAATGATTTTGATGAATAATTTTAACTGTTCAATGGTTTTTTTATTTGCTCTTTAAAATGTAATATTACATTTCAAACAAATTAATATAAAATTCTAGTTTTTTATTTTTTACATTGTGGTGTATTCCTTGTTTAGTCTCTGTAGATTATCTATTTGCATCTATGAAGATCCCCCTATCATATTTGTGCCTACATACCCTTTCTCTTCACTTTTGATCCCTACTGTGGTATGATCTGCTTCCTCCATTAATGGATCTGTTTGGATCAAATATAGACAAGAGAACTCTGCTGTTATGCAGAGTTCATTAAAACTTACTGCTAAGCTAATTCTTATTGTCATGAACAATTCTATTACAATTTAATGAACTGTCATTGTTAACCATTTTTTAATTTTTTAATTACTCTGTCCAGATGAACTTACTATTGAACCTAACATGTCTGACAGTGAAATGGAATATTGTCACTGGTGAATAATTTTCGTAAACTTCTTGAGTATGTACTGTGACCAAAGTTCTAATAAGTTGCATTATGTCACCAAATATATCTCAGTACAAGTTTACAAGTATTTCATGGAAGCATCTTACTTTGAAGAGGCATTAACATTACTGGACAGGATCTACATGAAAAATAAAAATGAAATTGTCTCTAGATATTTACTGGCTACAAGGTATCAACAACCCTCAGATTCCAGTGATGGATTTTCTCAAGCCTTAATAAAATTAAATAAAGACTGTTCATTTTCTTTTGTATCAGCAAATCAGTATTGAGCCAAATTAATACAAGATGGCTTCATAAATGGGCTATGACTCATAGATATCTGACAAAGAATGCTCAAAGGCATTAAAGCAGGCTTATGGCCAGGCAAGAGTACTAAATTTAGCAGAACAAAATGCTAAAAATTATGATACAGTTGCAGCAATATCAGAGACCACCCCACCTATTTGCCCCCTCCCCCATCATATGAAACACTAGACACTCCAGACTCATCCTTAAGTAAACACATTTTTCCTCCTGGGCAAGAGACATGCAAGGTCATTATGCCCCTCTAGAAGGGTCAAATGCTATACATGTGGCAAGCAGGGATATTGGATTAAAGTTTGCAAAAGTAAAAAAAATGAAGAGCAAAATGGTATCTTGTTTGTCATTATTTGATACACTTGGCTGCTTATCAACTACAATAAAAATCAATTAAAAGTTCTAGTTCCACGTGCCATGCCTCTTCCAGATGTCTTGGGTTTTTTTCCCATTTTAACTCAACTCTCCAAGTTTTTTGGTTCACCACTGCTGTAGCTAGGTATTGAACTCACAATGGGTCTCATCACTGGATCTAACCAGCATCTTTATCTACTGGGCCATGTATTCTTGAGCATCTGGAACTAGAACAATCTATCCCAGTGGACAAAATAAAGTGTTTGGTTCGAAATTTCGGTCACATAAAGAAGGTTGGAGTGTACAATGGCTTTAATATTGTGAATATAGCAATTAAAATGAGGATAAGAGTCCAAATAATGTAAATAATCATAATACCTCATCTCAGAGATATAGACAGATATTCTATTTCCTTGCTTCCTCTTCTTCTCTTATGTAACATATCCATTAAAAATCAGAGCTTCTTTCTTCATAACTCTTTATTCCTCCAACCATTCTCTCATAATGCAACTGTTTCATCTAAATAATTCCTCCTCTTGCGATCATTAATTTCTCCCATTTTCACCTTCTGCCGAAAAGAAAGAAGGTAAATTCACACAACTCATTTTTTCTCCTTCTTTTCCTTCCAACTCCCTTCATGTCACAATTTGTTTTCTTCTCCAACCACTGCAAGGAAAGTTGGTTCATTGTGTTGTGCCAGAAAGTTTTTCTCATGAGCATCCATCTTGCACATTTACAAATCTACCATTTGGTTCTGCATTGAATATTGCTGCCATATCTGGTCTGATGCTCCTGATATTCATCTCAAAGTTCTTGACAAAATCCAAAGAAGGATCTACAATGTAATGAATCCTGACTTGGCATCTTGACTTCAGTCACATTCTCGCAGATGTGATTTCCCTCTGTCTTTTCTCCAAATATTTTCATAGCAACTGCTTTGACAAGCTTTTTTCCCTGGTGCCCTGACTACATGAATTTAAGCATGCTACTAGATTGGCATTTAGGTCCCACCCTTTTACTGTTGAAATAGTTAAATGTAACCGCCACTTCTACTCCAATAGTTTCTTTTCTCACATTTCCCAATAGTGAAATTCCCTTTCATTTACTTGCTTCCCTGAAAACTACAATCTTCAAAAATTTAAATGCAATGTCAGCTGCCATCTTCTGTCAGCTTGAACTCTGTTCATCTTTGATCCTTCCTCAATCACTGCTATACCCAGTCTTTTACTCTTACTTTCACTCTCTGTAACCCACTGCTTACTAGTGACATTGCCACCTTGCTTGGGGTAAAATGATTAAAAAAAAACCCCTCCACTTACCTTTCAAAAGTTTGTAAGATTAAAATCTTCAGTTAGATGAGTGGCATTTTCTTTTCACTTGGAATATTTGGTGATTAGTTCCATACCATTTTTATAGGAATTTTAAATAAAAAGTAATTTTGAAAAATCCTACTTTTAGATAATCAATATGACTAACAAGTAACATTTGGAGAACAATGAGAACATTAAAATATTAACAAAATCAACCGCACTGGTTTGCTAACAAAATCATTAATTTGAAAATTGTTTGAACAAAGAGAAATTTTCTTTGCTTTTTTTTAACAAAATGTTTCATAATCAACTGACATCTTTTAATAAAAGAAAATCTTTATCGTGTCTGTCATTTTTGTCTGGAGTTTGACTTGCCTTGTAAATTCTATGCCATTTATTGTTTTCTCACTATTTATTTTAGGACACAATGTATTCAGGCCTTGCCAGAACTGTACACAAATTCCAATCTTTAATAGGTGCTCCGCACACAGATCATTGGAATGCTGTCTTATTTGGAGGCAAGTCTTCATTATATTATCCTTAAGAGCACCAATCATTTATGGCTGAGAGAATTGTGTACAGAGGTCAGTGTTCAAGCCCAGGTAAAAAAAGCCTGGATTTCAGATGCTGATCTTCTAAGCTTCAATGTTGATTCACATCATTCTCAAAATATAAATGAAAGTGACAGTTATGTCCATAACACACTTTATTCTATTCTCTAATATATTCCTAACAATAAGCACTGATTGTCACTTATGATGTTCTGATGTGAATTAACATTGAAATATCAACAAATTCAACCATTCATTTATTATAATTGATAATCATATTGATTACTTACAAGTATGTGTTTTGGATTTCTTTGTCATTTGAGTGTTAAGAGTTTTATATGGTTTTAATATGAAGTGAAAACAATTGTATTGAATTTTAGGGATTTAAAAAAAAAAAACTAAAGAATAATTTCTGAACTTTGAAAAAAAAGAGGTACATATTGGCTAAAATGAAAATGGAAGTTGGGTGGCCTATTTTACATGTATTTGTTGGGGGTATGTTGGGCTTTTCCATGAAGTTTAAACTTACTTTTAGAAGTTCAAACCTCAGATCAACTTCAAAGCATTCAGCATATAGTAGCGTTATTTTACCAGTAATATTTGCATTCATTCCTGACCACTGACAATCCCTTTTTCATTTGCCTCATTTGCAAAATAATATTCCTATAGTAAAACACCTGCTACAAAATAATAATTCTACAAAATAATAATAGCCCTATTCTTTTAGTAATGGTTGCATTCATTCCTGACCACTGACAATCCCTTTTTTCCTCATTTCCAATGCATTCCTATAGTAAAACACTGCTACAAAATAATAATTCTACATATAATAGCCCTATTCTTTTAGTAATGGTTGCATTCATTCCTGACCACTGACAATCCCTTTTTTCCTCATTTCCAATGCATTCCTATAGTAAAACACTGCTACAAAATAATAATTCTACATATAATAGCCCTATTCTTTTAGTAATGGTTGCATTCATTCCTGACCACTGACAATCCCTTTTTTCCTCATTTCCAATGCATTCCTATAGTAAAACACTGCTACAAAATAATAATTCTACATATAATAGCCCTATTCTTTTAGTAATGGTTGCATTCATTCCTGACCACTGACAATCCCTTTTTCCTCCTTTCATTTCCAATGCATTCCTATAGTAAAACACTGATACAAAATAATAATTCTATTCATATAATAGCCCATATAATCTTTTAGTAATGGTTGCATTCATTCCTGACCACTGACAATCCTTTTTTCCTCATTTCCAATGCATTCCTATAGTAAAACACTGCTACAAAATAATAATTCTACATATAATAGCCCTATTCTTTTTAGTAATGGTTGCATTCATTCCTGACCACTGACAATCCCTTTTTTCCTCATTTCCAATGCATTCCTATAGTAAAACACTGCTACAAAATAATAATTCTACATATAATAGCCCTATTCTTTTAGTAATGGTTGCATTCATTCCTGACCACTGACAATCCTTTTTTCTCATTTCCAATGCATTCCTATAGTAAAACACTGCTACAAAATAATAATTCTACATATAATAGCCCTATTCTTTTAGTAATGGTTGCATTCATTCCTGACCACTGACAATCCCTTTTTCCTCATTTCCAATGCATTCCTATAGTAAAACACAGCTACAAAATAATAATTCTACATATAATAGCCCTATTCTTTTAGTAATGGTTGCATTCATTCCTGACCATTGACAATCCCTTTTTTCCTCATTTCCAATGCATTCCTATAGTAAAACACTGCTACAAAATAATAATTCTACATATAATAGCCCTATTCTTTTAGTAATGGTTGCATTCATTTCTGACCACTGACAATCCCTTTTTTCCTCATTTCCAATGCATTCCTATAGTAAAACACTGCTACAAAATAATAATTCTACATATAATAGCCCTATTCTTTTAGTAATGGTTGCATTCATTCCTGACCACTGACAATCCCTTTTTTCCTCATTTGCAATGCATTCCTATAGTAAAACACTGCTACAAAATAATAATTCTACATATAATAGCCCTATTCTTTTAGTAATGGTTGCATTCATTCCTGACCACTGACAATCCCTTTTTTCCTCATTTGCAATGCATTCCTATAGTAAAACACTGCTACAAAATAATAATTCTACATATAATAGCCCTATTCTTTTAGTAATGGTTGCATTCATTCCTGACCACTGACACCATCATCCTTATGGTTAAATTTCTTCTGTCAGGGCTGCCAAAATTTACCTTCAGGGATATCTCTGGAATTAACATTTTGCATAAGTTTTCTTGTTTGCAGAATATTGCTCAACTCACTTCTCAAAATAAAGCATTCTGATGTTTGGTCTTTGAAATACTAATATTCTGTAGTGGTTTGTATCAAAAGCCTTTCAGCAATCCCTTTCATTAAATAATAAACCATTTTTTTTGTATCTGCTCATGATACAAAATGTACTATGAAAATAACAACCTGACCAAGAAAGCATGAAATGTAAAGTTTCTTTAACCCCTGCACCTACCAAATTCTTGTTTGATAATTAAAATTACGTTGCAGCAATCATTTCCAAATAATTAATGATTTCTTCCTTTTCAAACTCTCAAGTTTTATAAACTAAAAATAGAACAATAATATCTGATAAGTAGGGTGGATGGTCGGCACCATTAAATTCAAAATTCTTTAAAATGTCCAGTACCTTTCTGCCACTTCCTTTTACCATTTGGTTTTTTTTTTTTCAAAACTAGTATTTTGCATGAACTATTTTGCACTTCTGTACATATTTAGCCATCAAAATATCTTCTATATCTTAAAAATCATGGCTTTATCCTTTTCTGTTGGTTTTTGGCTTTTAATTTTTTTGGCTATTGGTGAACGTGAGTGCTGCCACTACATGGGTTGTTGCTTGGTCTCTGGATCATAGGTGTGGAACCATATTTTATCAACAGAGAGAAGTTGTTCCAGAAATATATCACTTGTTTACTGAAAAGGCTGCAAAAGCAACTTGGAGGTGTCTACGTCATCTCAGTGTTGAGTAATGGTTAACAAGTTCATCTAGTTGACTGTTGAGGGATTGAAGTCACAACTCACTACTGGATCAATCAACCAAGACTTTTATCCACAAAGAATGGAGAGTTAAGTTATCAAGGGGAATTAACTAAAACTGAGATATCGAAAGGCATGGCATGTGGAATTAGAGCAATCTACCCATGTGGACTGACAGTGTTTGGTTCAAAATTCCAAATATCACCTGAAAAAGGCTGGAATGTACAATATCTGAAATATTGTGAATACAGCAATAAGAATGAAAACAATAGTTCAAACAATGTAAATAGTGTAAATACTAACATAAATTGTATTTTTCAATGACTGTCATCATTAAAACTCTTAAGGCATAGAAGTAACCTGAAAATATTGTGATGCTATTTCCACATGAAATGTATAACTATACTTAAATTCGCTTCAAGAAAATGTTGTAGAAGTTATGGTTAATGTTATTTCATATAATCCACCTAGAAATATTCAAGGAATTCTTTGAAAAGTTTATGACCCTATAAAGAAAAAAGATTACCGTATATACTTGCGGATAGGTTGCCCCACTGGATAGGTCACATTGCTATTTTATGGTTTAATAATTGATGATTTACTGTTGACTTGCAGATAGGTTGCACTATTATCTCAAGAGTTATACAGCCCTTTTTAAACATAAGAATTATCAGATATCTACCTTTATTTCAAAACTTACAATTATTAATACACTTTTGCTGTTAAAATACATTTCGTCAGTTGTCATGTAAACAAAAGGAAGTAGCTGTTGTACTGGTATTTTTATATTTACCGCATATTATTTTTATATTGTCAACTTGACAAAAAAAAAAAAAAAAAATGAGCAACAGAAGAAAATGTTATGGTACATTTAGAAAAAGTGTTTCTATTTAAATATGAAGTTACATTTTTAAAATTCATTTAGAAGTGAATCCACAGCTTTAGTGTTTCTTGGTACCATTTCTGATTTCAGAGAAAATCATGATGTAAAGGTCATGTTGTTTTAGATTTATGTCAAGTGGATAAGTCCCAACCCTAATATTTTGTGTAATTTTTGGTAAAAAACGTACAACCTATCTGCGAGTATATACAGTATATCTAATCTAATATCTATGAGGTGTTATCCAAAACTTGGCAAACTTAAGGTTTGAAATGGTTTCTCCAAAGAAAAAAATGTCGGGTTCTTCATGTCTTATTGAAGTGATTGCAAAAGTTGTGTGAGAGTTCTAACAAAACCATTTACTGATAAACAGATGGTTTAATCTGTTTCAATTTTAAAAATGTATTGATTGTCACGAGTGTTTGTATATATTCATATAATGACTTTTTCTCTTCATAAAGATCTTTGATATATTGACTAATCAAAGAGTTTTATAGAGAGAATTCAAATTATGAGAAAAGCTTGTAGTAATTACGAAATGAAAACTTCAATGAAACTCTTGTAATAACCAGGTGAATGTAAGTTGAAGTGGACCTATTAACATTCAGCCAACATTAGTTCTGTTAAAACATGAAAGACAAAACTGTTTTTCTTATTCTGCAATAAACAGTTATTGGCCTTGTATTTTATAAGTTCATTTTTTTTATTTTTTTTCTTCTTTGCAGGTTTCATTGGATCTTTATTTTCCATTCTCCAATTTCTTGCTTGTCCAGTTATTGGTATGGCTTCTGATGTTTATGGCCGGAAACCTGTATTCCTGTTCTCAATGGTAAGTACGTCAACATTTACATTGTGTACACATCCTTGCTTGGATGAGGAAATATTTCAGTTACGATACTTAAAAAAAATAAGCTGGAGCATGAATTCTCAATGCCCTCTTGAGAATGCTGTGAACTCTTAAGAGGAGAATAAGTGTTCAGGGGATTACAAGAAACACTGTAGGTTTCTAGAGCTTGTACCACACACACACACACACACACACACTCACATAATTGGATGACAAAAATATTTTTTTTATTTAGTTGACATATAGGAGCACAAATGTTTGAAAACAAAAAAAAATGACTCCCTCTAAGATTTGGGATAGGAAAAATGAAATCCAATTCCTATACAAATGCATACTATTACACATGCTTATTAGGCACACACATGCATGTGTGTGTCTAAACTATAAACATGCATACACATCCATAAATATGCATATTGTTGTATTGTGTTGTTCTACGACACATGATCACTTGTCAACTTCTGTCTCTTATTTTACTATACATTTTAAATATTGCCTACATAACATATGCAAATAGGTACAATCCTATTCACCAATCCATTACACATATACAAAAAATATTATGCAAAAATATTATAAATACAGGTAATGAAGAATAAAAAAACTAATTAGAATGAATAAATAATAGGAGATAACTGATAACTGACATCCATTAAACATGGCACATGGAACTAGAACGGTCTACCCCAGTGAGTGAAATAAAGAGTTCAGTTCGACATTCCAACCACCTCAAGAAGGCCGGAGCATACAACGGCCGAAAGTTTGTAATAAATATGGCAACAAAGATGAGGACAATAGTCCGAATAATGTACATAATACCTCATCTCAGAAATATAGACAGATACTGAAAGGCTGAAACGTTGTAATAAATATGGCGACAAAGATGAGGACAATAGTCTGAATAATGTAAATAATGTACATAATACCTCATCTCAGAAATATAGACAGATACTGAATAAATAAGTTTGAAAGAAAGGGTACCATCAACACTCATTGTGCACTACTTTATATATAAAGTAGTACAATTCTTTAGTGCCACCAGTTCTTAGCTTCACTGCTAAGAGCTGCCATGTTATGCACATTGTAGCAAACCTCCCTCATTCCCTTTGTATTCCATTGGATATTGTATTGATCAGGGAAGCATCCTTTTGGGAGTCAGTTCCACAGAGCAGTGGTTTATGGGAAGAAGCTGACTCCCAAGAGAATGCTTCCCTGATCATTTTCCAATTTTCAAATAAGGTGTTGGTTATTGTAATCATACTTGCAGATAAACTGTCTAAAGTTCATACTTTGTTATTTTTGTTCAAGTACTTTTGATTTTCAAAGTTATTATTAAGAACCAATATGGTGTCTGTGTGGTGTCTGTGTGGTAGTTAGAATTCATTTGTCCTGAATTATATTTCAATCACAGCTCATTTCCATACAAGCTCAGTTTTTCCTACAACTGATATGACTTACGTATTCATACACAAGTGATAATCTCACACTTACATCTCAAGTCATAAGGGTGGCTGCCATACTTTAATGAACATTAATGCTTATTAACCTGTTGACTTGCTTCTGTTAAGCATTTATGATTTTAATATCTCAAGGCTCAGAAAATGGAATTAACCTTTTTGTGTCTATAAAATAATTTGTTTGCCAATATTGGGATAAATGTTTATACCTTATCCAATTTTTATTTACTTACCAGATCAACATTAAATATAAAACTTTATATTCTTATATCAGTAAAAAAGAAAATCCTAAACCTTGCCTACCTTAGTTCAAATGCACTTAATTCAAAAATACAAACATGATTATTATTTCACTTTTTCTAGCTACTAGAATTTGCTGTTACTACTTCAACTATCATAGCAAACAAAAATTTTTTTTTGTAAATCTTACATAAACAACCAGTGATACACAAAAGATGACTCCAAGGTAGTTAAGAAAGAAGACATTTTTTTTTTTTATAAATTGATTAGTTGTTGCATTAGTTTTTAGCATTTCTAAAATGAGAAGATAAAATCTCTGTGCTGTCTTTCAGGTTTCAGATAAACAGTAGTTTAACCTGTTTAAATCTCTACGAGCTATTTCTTGGTTAAAATTGCACTTTGGTCAAGTAATAAACAAACACCTCTGCATTGTGTAAATTCTCAAAAGAAGGTGTTTGTTGTTCTCTACACTGAAAATTTAATTAACTTTAGGAAGAGCATTCAGCTGTGAAATTAACTTGTCCCCATTTCTTTTAATCGGATTTATTTAATTTTGTAAAAGGATTTCTGGATGTTTTCGGAATATTAAGTAGATTCACAACATCCCACCTTGTTGAAAACAATTACTTTAAGCACATTCTGAATTGTATTGGAGGAGGCATGGTGGAAGTATGGATAGCGGCTTAGATTGAGGAATCAGAGAGCTGAGTTTGAATTCCACTCGAATCCATTACATTCACTTACATGCTAATACCCTTGGGAAAGGTATGAATCCTCCTCTTCTCCTTTCAGCTATGGGTAAATAGCAAGACAGACCGGGTTCTATAGCCTTGGATGGCAACTGGTCTACTGCAGAAAGAAATGCCTTGTCAGTCATATATCGAAAGATACATGATCGCCTAAGTGTGTGTCACGCATGCCACTGACTGCCTGAGAAGAAACAAGTCAAAAGAATGATCTTCCACATGAAGTGAGAAACACGCTAATATATAGCACAGTGGATTAAGGATTCGGAGAGCCGGGTTTGAATTCCAGTCGAATCCATTACATTCACTTATGTGCTAATACCCTTGGGAAGGGTATTGGTCATCTTTTTCTCCCCAAGCTATGGGTAAATAGCAGGACAGACCAGGTTCTATAGCCTTGGATGGCAACTGGCCTACTTCAAAAAGAAATGGCAACCTACTGCAAAAAAATCTGCCTTGTCAGTCATGTATTGAAAGATACATGATCACCTAAGCATGTATCACATATGGCACATAACTGACTGTCAACCTTACATCTGATGTGTGGGTACTGTTGTAACCAAATATTGGTCTCAATTAAAAAAGTCCACTGTTAATACTGATGTTGTCCTTTTATTTAGGAAATGCACTGTGAGAACTGGAAATGAACAACAGATATATATTTCTCAAAATAGGAAATGAACAAACAAAATACATTTCAAAGAAATACACAAACAAGGAAAACAGTTTTCAAAGAGAAATAGCAATTTGGAATAAACTCAAAGAAATGAGAATGGGACATATAGTGTGATAAACTAGAATTTCAGACTTAGTAGGGGGACAAATATTTACCAGTTGCCTAAAAACACATGTGGTAGTTTCCTTACCACCCTAAGGGGTTACATGGTTTCCTTATCACCCTAAGGGGTCACGTGATAGTAGACTCTGAAGAAATTACAGCTAAATATATGTATGTATATTTATTTTTTTTTTTCATCAAAAGAATGCATTCTACTCATACAATTCATATCCAACCTGACCCTATAAAGAAAAAAGATTATATCTAATCTAATATCTATGAGGTGTTATCCAAAACTTGGCAAACTTAAGGTTTGAAATGGTTTCTCCAAAGAAAAAAATGTCGGGTTCTTCATGTCTTATTGAAGTGATTGCAAAAGTTGTGTGAGAGTTCTAACAAAACCATTTACTGATAAACAGATGGTTTAATCTGTTTCAATTTTAAAAATGTATTGATTGTCACTAGTGTTTGTATATATTCATATAATGACTTTTTCTCTTCATAAAGATCTTTGATATATTGACTAATCAAAGAGTTTTATAGAGAGAATTCAAATTATAAGAAAAGCTTGTAACTTGAAGCCTGCAGTTCCATGTTCTCTTCCCCCCCGCCATATTTTTTTTAAATATGTCTTTTATCATTCATTTTAAGCTTATTTATTGTTGTTTTTTTTTTTATGAAAACACTGTGTTAACACATTACATTACATTAAATTGCTTCAGTGTTGTGTAATTGCTAGTAATAGTGATCCATTTAATTCTTACTACTGATTATTGAGCTTGATCCTCACTGGGAACCTTACACAAAATTTGACATTAAACAACCCAACAATGATAAGCATGTCATAAAACCAATCAACTTCATTTGTTTAAATAAGCAGTATGAAATCAGTAAATAAAGGACTTTCAACAAGATTTGAACTCTCATCCAATACCTTGAGAACTAATATTATCTTTTAATCTCCCCATTTTTTTTGTTTGTTTAACACATTCATTTGTTTAAAAACAAAAGTTTCCATTGTTCAATCATAACTGTTTAAAATTTAGAAAATCATTTTGTGGGACAGAAAGATAAAAATATAAATGAAAAATTAATTAGATTTTAAATTAATTAGACTTTAATTAATTTAAAGTCTAATTAATTTAGACTTTTAGCCTAAGCAGCAGAAAAGTCACTGATTGTTGCTGACATACACACTGACATTTTCATCAAATAGTTCACATACTGGCTCTTATCTATGTATCTATCTACACACACACACACACACACACACACACACACATATATATATATATATATATATATATATATATATATGTGTGTGTGTGTAAGATCTGCGTTCCAGACATGATGGCCTATTCTACCTAAGTACCAAAAGCTAACCATTTATTTGTTTTGTAACAAAATAACTTTTAAACTTTATTACAGTGAAACATGACATTTAGACGAACATTACCTGCTTATCACCAATTACTAAATGATGGCAATACTTATGTTATTAACATTTTGTAAGTGCACTGCAAAATAAAAAAAAAACAAAAAAAAAATAACCCGTCTGTAAGCTAAAAGTAATAAGACAAATTATGACAAGTAAAAAAATTAACAGAAAATTTTATTTCCTCAATTGTTCGACATATAGATGGGCAGTATGTCTATATGTTGTCAAAAGACCTACAAATATTTTCTATAAAAAATAAAAGGAGTTTATATATTTACTAACCATGTGCCCTGATTGCTGTTTTTTGTTAATGAGATATTTCGTTTTTATGGTTGCATTAAATGATACTAATCATACCCTGTCCTTGCATAAATAGAATATTTCATTAGTAAATAGAAGGAGACCAGGCTGCTAATACTTTGTTTTTATTTCTGGTTTCATGTTAGCTTGCTTTGAATATTTTCATTTTCAAAAAGCAGAATTCTTTCTTAGGTATGGCAGTTTATAGTATAAATAAAAAAGTCTTAACTTACTTATGCAGAGAACATAGCAATATTTAATTTTGCAATAGTTATCTTTGACATTATACAAGGTTAATAATAATGTCTTATTTCAGCTTGATGGCATCACAGAAGAGATCAAACCTTATCACCAATAACCCATGTTTTTTTTTTTTTTTTTTTTGTCTTGTTGCAAATAGTAGCTGAGCAGCAGTCTGGTGAAATGGTGTCTGACAGGAAAGTGTGTACAAACCATAAGTGTGTCAATGAATTTTTCTATGCAGAAAAACTTCACCCATTGGCATTCACCGAAACTTGTTGAATGTTTATGGTGACCATCTATGGATATGAGCACAGTTAATGGCTCATGAATTTCCCCATTTGGGACAGTCTGAGGAGTCGTGTTTTGGGCAGCCCTGCACAGGCTGTTTGTTCATTGCTGATGAGAATACAGAGCCAGTAGTTTGACTGTGTGAAAAATAATTTTGCAGCTGAAAATTTTTATCCCCTGGATCTGTTGTGGATATAAATGGGAGGAATTACTTTCAGAGCATCCTCAGCTCAGTATCATATATGCATTATATATATATGAGGGGACATATAAAAATTCTTGGCCCAAGGTATTTTCTTTGTAGGTTTGACAGAAGCTGGCTGTTGCTTTGTTTTTCTTTCACCAATACTGAGATGTGACTGAATTCAGAAGGAAAATCTGTTTACCATTTGTGAGGTGATGTGTCTTTTATATTTTATTCTCTTTGTTTTACAGTTTGGAGTGGCTCTCTCTTACTTGATCTGGTCATTTTCAAAGAGTTTCTCTCTGTTTATTCTGGCCCGAATTTTGGGTGGGGTGAGCAAAGGAAATGTCAGCCTCTCCACTGCTGTAGTCACGGATGTATCTTCTGCTGAGAAACGAGGAAGAGGAATGGTAAGATGTCTTTCTTTCTCTTTCTTTCTCTTTCTTTTCTTTAATTTTTCCTTTTGCCTGGCATTTGAGTGCATAACTCCTGTGGCATCAATCATATATATATATTGTGTGTGTGTGTGTGCGTGTGCTATAAGAAAATGTAAAACTTATGGTTAATGTTAGTTCATATAATCCACCTAGAAATATTCAAGGAATTCTTTGAAAAGTTTATGACCCTATAAAGAAAAAAGATTACCGTATATACTTGCAGATAGGTTGCCCCACTGGATAGGTCACATTGCTATTTTATGGTTTAATAATTGATGATTTACTGTTGACTTGCAGGATAGGTTGCACTATTATCTCAGGAGTTATACAGCCCTTTTTAAACATAAGAATTATCAGATATCTACCTTTATTTCAAAACTTACAATTATTAATACACTTTTGCTGTTAAAATACATTTCGTCAGTTGTCATGTAAACAAAAGGAAGTAACTGTTGTACTGGTATTTTTATATTTACCGCATATTATTTTTATATTGAGTCAACTTGACAAAAAAAAAAAAAAAATGAGCAACAGAAGAAAATGTTATGGTACATTTAGAAAAAGTGTTTCTATTTAAATATGAAGTTACATTTTTCAAATTCATTTAGAAGTGAATCCACAGCTTTAGTGTTTCTGGGTACCATTTCTGATTTCAGAGAAAATCATGATGTAAAGGTCATGTTGTTTTAGATTTATGTCAAGTGGATAAGTCCCAACCCTAATATTTTGTGTAATTTTTGGTAAAAAATGTACAACCTATCTGCGAGTATATACAGTATATCTAATCTAATATCTATGAGGTGTTATCCAAAACTTGGCAAACTTAAGGTTTGAAATGGTTTCTCCAAAGAAAAAAATGTCGGGTTCTTCATGTCTTATTGAAGTGATTGCAAAAGTTGTGTGAGAGTTCTAACAAAACCATTTACTGATAAACAGATGGTTTAATCTGTTTCAATTTTAAAAATGTATTGATTGTCACGAGTGTTTGTATATATTCATATAATGACTTTTTCTCTTCATAAAGATCTTTGATATATTGACTAATATCAAAGAGTTTTATAGAGAGAATTCAAATTATAAGAAAAGCTTGTAACTTGAAACCTGCAGTTCCATGTTCTCTTCCCCCCCGCCATATTTTTTTTAAATATGTCTTTTATCATTCATTTTAAGCTTATTTATTGTTGTTTTTTTTTATGAAAACACTGTGTTAACACATTACATTACATTAAATTGCTTCAGTGTTGTGTAATTGCTAGTAATAGTGATCCATTTAATTCTTACTACTGATTATTGAGTTTGATCCTCACTGGGAACCTTATACAAAATTTGACATTAAACAACTCAACAATGGTAAGCATGTCATAAAACCAATCAACTTCATTTGTTCAAATAAGCAGAATGAAATCAGTAAATAAAGGACTTTCAACAAGATTTGAACTCTCATCCAATACCTTGAGAACTAATATCTTTTATTCTCTCCATTTTTTTAAAATTTTTTTAAAATTGTTTGGTAGTAAACTTAGTAATGAAAGATCAAAATGTAAATGCTTTAACTAAAAAAATCTTGTTTAATTTTTATAAAGTTTTATTTGAGCTTTTATCTTTGTTTAGATATTGATCACACACCTTCACGTAAAAATTGCACAAAACCCACAATCTTGTTAACATCCACAATGTCTTGTACATAAGGTACATTTGCTCTTTGGAATTGTGGGTCTTGCTGCAACAAAATGAAGCTTGTATATCAGTCAACGAATTAAATAATAATACCCCCCCCAAAAAAAAATAACAAAAACGGTAGGAAGTTAAAATTACATCATTAAGGATGATAGATAACTCTTCATCATCATTCTTCAACCTCCCTATGTTTGGTTAGATCTCCATTAACAATCCTTTTCCACACTGTTCAATCCTGCATTGCTATCCTCAGATCCCCAATGTTCAACCCTGTGTCCTGTGGTATCTGGGGATAATCAATTTTTGTTAGAAGACACTTTCAGAAGTATGCCATAGGAGTAAGTATGAGACAATTTCCCTGTCCACTTGGTGGTAGTGGCCAGCAAACTGTAATCATTTTTGTTTGAGATTGGTCTCAATTGGATCAAGCATTGCATGGAATCTCCAGCTGATGTTCTAGATTTTTCTAAGTAGATTTGTATATGTTCCATCCAGTCATCTTTTTAATTGTTTTCTTATTTATTAATTATAATGTAACATTTTTTATAGATGAAGACATTAGTCATAATGATGTTTTGTTTACTACTAGTCAACTTGTTTTATTATTTATTGATATGTCCCAGAAAGGGATATGTTTGTTCGAAGTAGCAAAGTGGTTGTTCACTACTGTAACCAGGTAGGACAATCTAGCAGGTAACCGTAATTGTCTGGTCCTCATCATAGGGGTAGGCAATAGGCATAGACAATAGGCATCCTCCCTGTACCTCCACATCAGTCTATATTTATGGCTGACTCCAGCCAATCATATTACTGTGAGAGGGAACCCAGGTGTATGCATATTCATTACATCATTTATCTATCAAATATTTTTAACAAAAATAATAATAAAATGCCCTCATATATTTGATGATAATTTTATAATTTTATTTCTTTCTTATTTATTTATTTCAGTTATCATTTTTAAAATATATATAATAAAATATGTGGTAAATTTGATGGCAAACGGTATACTATGGCATACAGTGTCAAATATATACGTGTTTATGCATGTACCTATACATTTTGAGTAAATAAGTCAGCTTGGGAGGGTAGTTCATTTAAGAGAAGGAAAACTCTGATTTTTAAACCTCTGCTGCCTTGTGGCCATACCCAATCATGGGGAAGGTTTCAGTAGTAAACCCTGAGGACAAATCCAGATCTGGAGTCTCTCAGACAGTTTGGAAATTCAAATTCCAAGTTGGTGTCTAGTGTGGGATGTTTCACTTCATGACTTGAAAGGAGTCTTTAGCCTTGGGTGGCAGTCTTTCTAGAGATGGCGTCTTGACAAGAACATTTGGATGTAGCGTTGGTGTCTCACATTTTGTATCAGCTGCTGAAAAACCAAAATAACAATTAACCTTTGACTTGAAGAGGTTAAGATTGTAGTGTTCCAGGAAGCAGCCACATCTGAGATTTTTCTATAAAGTAGCACTTATTGGGAAATGGCTATTTGAATGGAACTTTCTTCTTAGATTTGGAATAGGGAGTAAATGTGCAGAAAACACTGGACGGCCGCTTTGTCCTGTTTATTCTTTTGAAGATTTTTCTCGACTGACTGAATGAATTAATTATGATTATTCAAATTCCCCTTAATTTCTATATATATATATATATATATATATATATATATATATATATATATATATATATATAATCACTGCTTGAACTGACTTCTAATGCTCCGGATGGATCAGCTTGGGGATAGAAGACATGACTCATGGGGGCACAGTCCATTGGTATAAGTAGACTTGGATGAGTCACACAACAGAATTTGTGAAGAGCTGGTGCCATGGTTTGTTACCTCTCTGTAACTGAGACATGTTGGTCCAGTGGGTATATCGTAATGGTCTGGGTTCAATTCTCAGTAGTGGATGTGCACTGCTGATGAGTCCCCAAAATAGAACGAAATGGCTGTCCAGTGCTTTCTGCATTCTGTTGAGGATTCTTCTAGACTTGAATTATGATTATTCAAATCCCCCTTAATTTCTAATATATATATATATCCAGTAGTTTCCCAACACTTGATTCTGATAGTTTTATCAACTCACCACCACTGCATGAAGAAATTATTCAACACCTATGACCAACTGCAAATTAATTCTTGACTTATTAATTGGACTATACTGGAAGTGAGAGGTATAGTGAAGGTTATTGGTATGGAACAACAGTATTGGCAAATTTGCACTATCGTCTTGGGGAAAGGAATGAATCCAGTAATACTTGTACACTATTCCATCATGAAATTTTGAAAAAGTATCTAATCACTGACAATATCATGATGTTCCATTCTCTCATAGCTATCTTATCTGTCTAGAGAGTAACACCAAAATTCTTTTACCTCAATCCCAAGAAGTTTTTGGACTATTGAAATTATTCTTTCTGTTGCTTTTGTTGTTTTATCTTGGACAATCTATTTTAGAGTCTTCTCCTGATATTCAAAAATACATATTTTTATTTTAAAGATATGACAGAAAAATCATAATAGTATTTTCAAAATATTAAATTTAATTATCTCCAAAATTCTTATTCCACACAGCACATGATGTCAACTGCTGGTGAGATGTTTATTTTCATGACAATTCCAGTGACTTAAACCAATTATTTCTCCTTTTCATTGACAAGCTGTATACAGTACTTTTCAAGGTATTTTTATTTTAAGTAGGCATGCCTTTTAGAAAGGACCTATTTTCAAATCACAATCCGATATCTGCAAGGTCTTCTTTCCCTGTTTCTTCTATAACAGCCTAGTGCTCCAATGGTCACTGGCACTGTAATTACTTTCTTTCTTTGTCCTTTTCAAACTTCCAGAATGTCATACTTTAAATCATTCTACTTGTTCATCTATTCCTTTTCTTTGTTTTTAATTCTCATATCTTCATTAACGATCTTCCTGATGCCATTGATTCCAAAGGAGGCATCTATGCAGACGATACTACTATTTACTCCTGCCTCAAAAACAAATCTAGTGTCGCCGACAAATCTAACCTGGCCGTTTGTCTCGAAAAGGACCTCCAACCAGTTGTGGACTGGGGCAGGGAATTGGCTGGTTAACTTTAATGCCTCAAAAACAAAATTGCTCTCTATTACTCACCACAGAGAACCATCCCTGCCTCCCATTAGAATGTCTGACTCTCTTTGCGACTGCTCGGTCTCACATTGTCTGCTGAGCTGAGATGGAACAAATACATTGAGACAATAGCTTCGTCCACCGCAAGGAAAGTTGACTCCCTGTGCCATGCCAGGAAATTTTTCTTGCC